ATAATCAAGCAGGTGTATATTTACGTCGTCAAATTACGAAGTATATTTATCGTATGAACTTTTGTGATTCTGGGACCAAGATTGAGTACTTTCCACTTACGAGAGCCTTCATTATTTGCTCTTACCTCTGCTCTTAATATTCAACGTTAAACTACATAGGCTATTATCGAAGTCATTAGCAGGTAAAATAATACATTATTAAATACTAAAAATCGTCTAAAACAAGCATTAATGTATTCTCGGCAGCCATGTATTGTAAGCACGGATATATACATTATGTGATCTAAAGTTGGATAGTGAAGATTTTACAAGACAATGGCAAGATAGTCCCAATACTCAATACAAACATGAACTCTTCCCCCGTGAAAACAGATCATTTATTTACATACACAAATAACAGCGTCTTGAAAAACATGATTGGTAAGGTAAAACAGAACTTGTTTTTCGCTTTCTTTCGTTTATTCGTAATGTTTTTCAGCGTTTGCTTGGATATGTTTAATTCATGAACTAATACCAATGCGCTCTTTTATTATTATTATTATTATTATTATTATTATTATTATTATTATTATTATTATTATTATTATTATTATTATTATTATTATTATTATTATTATTATTATTATTATTATTATTATTATTATTATTATTATTATTATTATTATCATTATTATTACCTTTTTTTAAGAATATCTCAAACTCAAACTCTCCCTGGCTCGTCTGCTCGGGGGCCATGAGGGAGTGTACTGTGTAAACAACTGGGAAGACAAACAGGTAAAGACGATATGTTAGTAGCCGTGAATTTCATGGTCAAAATTCCACAGAAACTTAATCCCAGACCAGACACGGAAATCAGTATCAGACGATAATGTGAAACCTAACAGAAGAGAAGAGAAGAAAAGAGAAGAGAAAAGTGACTGGCACCGCAAGCAACTCACCAGCTTTTACTAGCAGGAAGTAAGAGTCGAGAAGCTGATAGTATGCAATGAATTGAACCATAATAATCATATTTTCTTATATTCTTACGTGTGAAGTGCTTAATGAATAATGGCTGCTAGAAAAAAAAGTTAACAGGAAATAAAGCCTCAGAAAACCCATCAAGCACTCGCAACAATGTAACAACTTGAGGTAGAATTAACGAAAGACGCCGTTCATTCACCCAAGGAAAGTTTACCGTGCAGCTCAAAAGTTGAGGCTGTATGCGTCTCTCTCACTTTTTCGCCCAACTGTACTTACCAAAACCAAAAAAACCTCCCTCCACCGCCCCCTCTTCTTCCCCTTCTTCTTTTTCCCACTCCTCCTCTTCCTTCTCCTCCTCAGGATAAAATAAGACTTCCCACTCAAGAATGAAGTGTTATACGGTGAAACACTCGCTAAATGATTCACCAATTTTGAGTGTAGCGAGGGTATTACCTATGTGTGTGTGTATGTGGGTGTGTGTGTGTGTGTGTGTGTGTGTGTGTGTGTGTGTGTGTGTGTGTGTGTGTGTGTGTGTGTGTCGTACACAGGGTGGTGAAATGACACTAGTGTGGCAGCACTATGTTAGTGTTAAGGTGCAAGCACTGCTTGCTCCCTCTCGCTTTCAGCTGCCGCTGCTGGTTAGCCCTCGTGGCGAACAGGGAAGCAACTTGCATAAGTCTTCCCTACCAGTACAAAACCTCTTCACCACAAAGACTCCTGCAGTGCCTCATCGTGACAACACACAGTAACTGGGTGCCTCGTGGGCCCAGGCTAGACCAGCAGGGGATCTCGGAGTAGCAGTGGGCCCCAGAGGGACGGCGCATAGGCCCACTGGCATGTGGAAACGCTCTGCCGCCTACCAGCCATTGCCCCGCTGTCTTGCAGATTAACCTTGGTAGGTATAAGGCTACGGGAGTAAACCCGGAACGAAACACCTGCGGTTGAGTCCAGCATCAGGCAGACATGTTTACAGAGCTCCAACAAGCCCCCAACGGCGGTGTAGGTGGAAGAGGTGACCACCGTGGAAACCCAACGACTAAACCGGTGGAAGAAGGCAATGCCTGATGCACTGGCTACTAAGGCAAAACCCCCAAAAATTGGGCTATCGGCAGTCCATTGCAACTCTCCCTCTCCCCAGTCGTTGCAACACTTGCACCACTGGATCAGGAAAAGGGAGAGCCAAGATGTGTGGATGCAACTTGCGCTCCTGCCTCACCACACAAATCAACTCATGCACAGCCATCATCCAGTTCATCATACCTCTCATCATCATCAAAACCTTTATACCCCAAAAATTCCTTTTGTCGACGGACCAGTGTCGACGAGGATAGGCAGAGATGACTGCCGGGAGTTTCTAGTCACAACTCTGCACTGGGATCTACACAGCAGTGCAAACCGGTCCTGTCTATGCGACTGAGCAGCCCTTTCGAGTAGCCACTCTGCTCACCCCACAAGGATTGTGCAGTAGTCCACTGCCAAACCCTACTAGTGCATCGTGGTGGAGGTCACTGAGGGATGGCATTTCCAGGGTGGAAAGAGCGTTGTTGTAGCCGGAGTAGTCTGCGCTGAGCATGATTCTGCAGGCCCTCTTCTGTACCTTCTCTAGCTGACGTTGTTGGGTAGAGTTGAAAGAAGAATAAATGCGTTGTAGATAGTCCTCAGCTCTGGCGTGGGTGCCCCAAGTGACCTGAGTCGTCGTAGCATGTAGAGTCGGTACGAGACTGCCTTGATTGTGTTGTTTACATGAACCTTCCAGTCCAGTTTGTGGTCTATAGTTACACCCAGGAGTTTGGCAGACTGCACTAACTGGAGAGGATGGGCACCCACTGTGTGTGTGTGTGTGTGTGTGTGTGTGTGTGTGTGTGTGTGTGTGTGTGTGTGTGTGTGTGTCTTAGTATTGTTTCACCGGCTAATACAATACATCATTAACAATCCCACTATGCCATAATTACAATTTCCATTAAAATCACCCCCACAGCAAACAGCCAGAATCAAGAGCCTTTGATTAAACTCTTGACTAGCTCCTCTGCCTACTAGATCATAATTACTACCTTTCATTCCTCATTTCACTAAATGAGTTTCGTTTCAAAATCACAATTACTGATAGCTTTTTTCCTTAATTAACACAGAGTAGCCTCTTCACTACCTGAGAGCAATTACCAGAAACTTTTATTTTAGTGCAATTAACATGCAAATTCAAAATACTTTTAGATGTTCCAAGCAAAAAAGAAAGAGAAAATACAGTGAAAGTTTGTTTTAAATGGACGACTTGACATCTTTAAATTTTTCAGGGTATTGTTATATATTGTCATCAGATGCTGTGTTGAACAGTTATGGTAAATGAATAAAATTAAATGTTGATTGACGTGTTTCATATTTTTTTTCAAAGAGTTTAGAACGTTAATAGATATATCTTGTAACGTAGAAAAGGATGACAGTGACATATAGTAGTCTGTCCGAATGGTATGTATAGCTATTATTAATTTATTAAGTCTTATGATCTGTCTTTTATTTGTTCAGGTGTTTATAAATAATGGAATGTTTATATACTTATCAATATTTTACCTATTATATTATTTGACTTTGTTTAGGATTGTGAGATTTTATTTGTCAAGGTTATTTTCGATGTTGTGAGGTTGATACAGGACGAAGGCAACACTTGATTATCGAGGTCTAAATAGCGTCTTGGATGACAAACTTTTATCCTCTCAAGAGCTTAAGTTGTTATTATCTTTGAGTTTCCAAATGATAAACCTAACCTAACCTAACCTAACCGAACCTAACCTAAGGCTCATCCCTGGAAGTCTTTAAATGATCAGTCAATAAGAATAGACGAGGATGGTATACGTAAATGAAAACAGTAAAGGGAGATGTACAGAAATTGAAGTAAAATTTTACCTCCAATAAAGGTCAAATCATTGCTTCTCTATCTCCATCGCTACTATTTCCTCGTGATATTTTGAGAGAAGGAAACTGTCATGAACTTTTAGCTAAACTGACACAGTGACGGGAAAAATGTTGATATAAAACGTGGCTTAAGAGAGAATTCAAGAACAACAAGAGGTGACGATGACGAACAATACAGGAAAAGACAAGACCGGAACATCGTGATAGACTTGACATCAAGTTGAAACGTCCTGGAAGCTTCAAGTGTTTGTGTTTCATCTTTTGTGAAGGAGACGGTTGTGAGGAGGAAGAAAAAAAGAACTTGTTATAACAGCTGAAGGGAAGTGACAAGAGGTGAACAACTAGAGTGAAGCAAGACATCTGTACCTGCGGAGCTATGAGCGAGGATAGTTATCATGCATGAGGAAGATACCTAACAGCGTGGGATGTTTGTTTTCAGTGGATTTACCTGTCTAAATGAAGAAATTAAAATAACAGTCTTGTGAAATGGAGAAAGTAAATGTGTGCAGAGAGAAAAGCGCTCCAAGGAAAGAAAAATATTGATGTGCCATGAAGTAAAACATTTAAGCAATGATTGAGATGAAACACAAGACTGGATGTACTGGAGGAACTGGGTTAATGTAAAGGTCCTCCAGTGTTTAAGGTAACAGATGGTTCTGCCGTAACACATCTTAGGCGCCCACACGAGAGTGAAGTAATGTGCAATTATAAGATTAGTACCTCCACACATATTTTAGTCTTTAAAAAAATTCAGGTGAAGACTTGTTCAAAGCACGATTTACGTAAGGGAAGGTTAGGATCGATGTAGACTATTGAGGTTAAGAACACGACAGACCTTGACCCACATCGTAAAGAGGATTGTTTTCATTGACAAGTAGACAAGTGACCTTTGTATAACCTTCAAGATAGTTATATAATCCAAATATTTCCATAAGAAAACAATAAAGTGCTTAATTAAGTAAATGATAAAACTTGGATAGACAGGTATTCCCAGTGTAACCATGACAGAATGACATACTGACCTTCAATACCTAAGTAGGTCAAAGTTATGATAATAAAGCCGCCCTCACCGATAATAATTAATTACCCCTACAAGAGATAAACATTTAAATTGATTATTACTCTACCCACAGATGGAGTTGTCGACGGGGGAGCGAGTCGTCCTCACCAATGTTGAACTCGACTCCACCGGCAAGTACAAGTGTGAGGTGATCACTGAGGCGCCCAATTTCCACACGGCAGACAAAAGCGCTCTCATGACTGTCGTCCGTGAGTACTGAGAGTCTTTCTGTTTCTATAACCTTTATTGTGTCTTGTGGAGGCTTATGATTTACAGAATTCAGCTTAATAGTAAACATTCTATCTTTTTGCCGGTAGCTCTTCAGTTATATTATTTTCTCTCTCTCTCTCTCTCTCTCTCTCTCTCTCTGACCATTTAGATACAATTATCTTTTTCTGTCACACTTGAAGACCCACCACTTTGGAGGGTCCACCACCACTGTGGTTCCAAACCTACACGAGGATTCAAGTTCCCATTAGGACAGACAGACAGACAAGGTTTGTTATTTGTTAATTTTGAAGAAAAAAAAATTATGAAATCCTTTTGTAGTGAAAAATAGCATTTGTAGATGATTAAAAAAATGAAGTGGACGTTAGATAAAAGTTAATATTTATTTTTTATCCAACGAGATTAATTGATTACGTTGCAAGAATTAGGTGTAACAAGATTAATTAATTCCCTCCGAAGCACCATAAACAACTGAGGTAAAAAGGTGTAAAGATGATCGATGAGGTGTTTAATGCGATGGGAGTAACAGAGGAAATGTAAAAAAGATAAAATACAAAGGTTGTGTCAGTTCAATTATGACTTTTTACAGCTTAAAGAAAAAAATAAAGGGTATAGTGTATTACTGATAAACACCGAGGAGAAAGAATGATAAGAAAATAAATTATAAATCAATATAAGGAAAAGTTGAGGACTCAGCAATGAAACTAAAACTAGAATTGAAGTTTTTTTTTAGGAATGAAACTGATTATTGTTAAAATTAATTACAAACAGAACATAATGTTAACATAACTCCAAGATAAACTAAATTAACTCTTATATGTCTTAGTGAGGAATATGACTTGAGATAGAGATTTGTATGTTAAAATGATAATATATAAAGAGGTTAAAGCTCCCATAATTGGAAAATGACCCCCCATTAGCTTAATCAACTTATCCTCTTCTACCTCACGATTTATACAGGATATCGAGGTGTTAGGAACTCTCTCTCTCTCTCTCTCTCTCTCTCAATTCAATTTAATGTTTTTTTTAGTCGGAAAATTAATATTGCTCAAAATCTCAGTATACTGTAGATCATCCTCGACTTGCTAATTATGGATCTGTGGTATAAATGTAGAATTTTTACAATTAATTGTCTTAATAATACCCTAGATTATGAAGTTGATAATTAATTATCCCAAATTTTATCATTTTGACCACAGATCTTTAATTAGCGTGTCGAGAACGATCTACACTGAAATTCTGATCAAAATTAATTTTCTGACTCAAAAAATACTAACAGCCACTATTATATCCTTTTCGTGTCTTACCTCCACCCCACCATTATCACTGTGTAGTTCTTCTACTTACTGTGTACACCTTTCTTTTACGTCTCCATGGTCCAGCTTGCTGTGGAATCATACAATGAAACGGTGAATTTTATCTTCTTAGTTAGATTAACCGAAAAAAATACACAAGTATTCAACTTTAGTGTTACGAAAAAATTAAGCATTACCGTATTTCTTTACCACTGAATAGTAAGACTTTTCAACCTGCTTTGTATATTAGACTGTTGAGTGTCGCGGTCACAACACTTGCCCATCACCTGATGGCGGGATTAACGAGACAGTTTTCCACTCACCTTACTAATGAGTCATGATTTTTACTGAGGTTAACAGTCGATTAGGTTTGTGCCTTTGTAATGTGTGAGGATCTCCTACAGTTTTTGAACACGTTACGCTGTATACCGCTCTGGGAAACTTGTCATTATTAACATTTGCGATTTGATATCTAGCTTATACCTGTCATAGGATGAGCGAATCACTTCCCTGGAGAGAAAGGTTCGTGTCTTGGCTCTGGCAGTGTTCAGAGTCTGTTTGGACTGGGTATCTAATTGAATGCTATATTCCATATATGCGAGCGCGCGCGCTTGTGAATATATATATATATATATATATATATATATATATATATATATATATATATATATATATATATATATATATATATATATATATATATATATATATATATATATATTGAGAGAGAGAGAGACCTATAGGTTGTTTCATTGTAGTTCCTCATATGCCAAGATTAACATTGGCTTTATCCTTGTGGGTGTCTCTCTTAAGTCAGACAAATGTTGTAACTGTATAAAACAACATCGTATTCACAGACTGCTTCTCTCATCTTCTGTTAAATGCCAAGACACATTAACAAATTACTTAAATACTTATTATAACGGATTGGTTTCATAAATGGGAAAAAAGACTGATTATAAACTGAAAATACCTTAAGGCAGACGTGACGATGAACTGTTTCACTGTCCGTGCTAACACACTCTTAACACTACTTTTGTGTAAGGTGGGATATAAATTTTGGTGTGTCGGCCTTCAGAAAAATGCCTAAATCATAATGAGGCCTATGACTAAGGAAAGGTTGCCCATGCCTGCTATATACGAATGAATTCCAATTGAGTGTTAGTAATAAAAATAGTTATCCCACCTCGTTCGTCAGAAACTTCAGTTTCTTTTTGAAGGTTAATCGACAGTTATCTCTATATAGTGTACCATACTGTATGCATATAAATTATTCTGACCCTCATTCATCAAGCCGCCATGTTTCTGTCACACATATTCCCTCACACTAAATCCCCCGCACTCATCCACACACCTCTCACTTCCACACCTGTGTTTACTTCTGACAGAGATCCCGGAGGAGAAGCCACGGATCTATGGTACACTACATAAGTACCACATAGGTGACACGGCCCATCTCACCTGTGTTTCGGCGATGTCCCTGCCCCCAGCCCGGCTCACCTGGTACATCAACGACAAAGAGGTATGTACTGCCCTCCTCAGCAAGTTACTCTTTATAAAAAAATTTTCTCCGTTAAAGTTGTATCTATGACAGGCTGGTGGTGGATAAGTGTTACAATGTGAAAATATTATGTTCACCGAATATTACGAGAACATAACAGTGAAACAATGTTCTTCTGTAGAGTTGTTTGAACAACCTTAAAGTGAGACACACGCTACAGTGATGATTCTTGTAGATTTGTATATTCTCTCTCTTTCCTTGAAGTTCGAGGGTAATCCTTTTGCTTCCTTATAAGTGGAATATAAAAATAATTATGACCTGAGAACTTATTTCCCAGTAGCATTGTGCGGAGAAGGAACATTACTTGTTTCACGAAGACTTGAGTTATATTTTAAGTTTTAGTAAATTTAAACATTATCTTTATAATCTACAAAAGGTGAGGGAAGTGTTGAACGAACATTTATATTCTGAAAATTAGCTTCAAAATTTTGGTGGACTTTGATAATGAATACACGAGTCTGTCTCATTTTTCAGTCTTGTTAGACATAAAATGATATTATACATATTGCTCTTCATATATGACGAATTATTCTATTACATGTCTCAATATAGCAGACGCAGCGTATTACATTAAAGCCTAAGTTTTGGCTCACCTCGCCAAAGGAAAAGACATGTGTTACATTACCGTCAATGGCAACAGCGTCGGTGTTCGTGTTCACTGTTAAATTTTGCCATAATGTCAGCTTCCGTGATAGAGGCAGTACAGGATAGTTTTCTTATGGTGTCTCGCTCTCTTACGTGAGATTAACACACACACACACACACACACACACACACACACACACACACACACACACACACACACACACACACACGCACGTCAGTCTGTCATATCCTCCCTTGCACACATTTTAACATATACTATATATGAAAATGTAAATCACAGTGGTCTTGCTGTGACTGCCTCTCATTTCAGAATTTTTAAGCCGGTTTCTTAGGTCATTTCATACACTTGGGAGTGATTTGTAGGCAGCTTTAGAACTGAAGACTAACGTTGACTGAGACAATTAGCATATACAAAGGAGAGAGAACGTTGATATGGTCCGCCCCTCTCCTAATCTCCTGCATATATATGTTGTGGCAATGAAAACTTGACAGCCACTTTCGTAAAAGTTTTTTTTAGTGTTAATGAATGGACGTGAAAGTTTGTTGATTATGGTCGTTGGCAGAAGGTTTTGTCCTGGTCTCAGCTGTGATGATTCAAAGGTTTAATGAAGTGTCTCCAGATGCAGGTATTATCAGCCCAGCCATTTGGTCACTCACCACATAATTTGAATATTTTAATAATTACTGATTCTTTTCTTGCTCGTCTAGAATATAAGCGCTTTGGTAAACGACGAATTAATAAATTTGTACCATGTTAGATAACTAAAGATATATGTAATGATTCTCCGTACAGTGAACAGTTTGGATGCTGACTAACACTGGCAAGAAATTAAACAGCGTAATATCAACTGTTCCATTGTACAAATTTAGATGTTTCTCATATATATTTTCTTATTCAAAGTCAATATCAAATGCTTGTTCAGTCAAACATATCTTAATTCAGATGTTGTCAAGTGTCATACATAATAACTTACGACATAATCCATCCAGTCCAGTACGTTATAAACCCTTTGGGTGTTTCCCTACCTGTTAGTCCCCTGACCAGTGTGAGAGTCAGCTAACAGGTAGTTTGCAGGAGACTTAATTAATGGATCAGATAACAGTGTTGACCTAGGCAGTGTGTGCGGGAGGTAGCAGCAGGTGTTGCCAGGAGCCGTAATTGATGGATCAAGCAGAGGTGTTGACCTACACTACACGGCCTTCCATTCCACCTTTCTTTACCAGATCACACTTTCTATTATCGAATCTTGTGAAAGTTCTCGTATCTGTTAATTAAATGTTTAATCATAAAGTGAACGTATTTGACGGTGTGTGTGTGTATATATGCATATCTGTGTGTCTGTGTAGCCACACACAGGGTTGTGAAATGCGTCTAGTGTGGCAGCATTATGTTAGTGTTAAGGTGCAAGCACTGCTTGCTCCCTCTCGCTTTCAGCTGCCACCGCTGGCTAGCCCACATAACGAGCAGGGAAGCAACTTGCATAAGTATTCCCCTGCCAGTACACAGCCTACTATTCATTGCTCAACCGAAACACTGATGTGGATGTCCTGACTACCCAGCAGGTCCCTCAGCATCCAGAGCTGACCCACCTCAGCTATCCTCCATCCCTGGATGAGGAAACTTTTGCCATCAAACAGATGAAAATTAATAACGCCTCAGGGCCTGATGGAATCCCAGCCGAGGTGTATCAACCAGGAGAACCTCGGCTTAAAAGCCGTCTCCACTCTCTCCTGGAGAATATATGGGAAAAGGAGGAAATCCCCCGAGCTCTTAAAGACGCCTCTATTGTCAATATTTATAAGAACAAGGGAGACCGGTCAGACTGTGGCAACTACCATGGGATATCGCTGCTCTCTCTAGCTGGCAAGATTATCGCCCGAGTCCTCCTCAACAGACTTCTTCCTGAGGCGGAAAACTTCCTCCCAGAATCTCAATGTGCTTTTAGACCATCACGTGGCACAACTGACATGATCTATGCTGCCCTTCCAGATACAGGAAAAGTGCAGAGAACCAAGGCATTCGAGTCGGTCAACAGGGAAACCCTCTGGTGGACTCTCGGCCATTTTGGCTGCCCACCAAAATTCATCGCCATTGTGAGGCAACTCAACGATGGCATGAACGGCAGTGTCCTGCACAACGGTACCCAGTCAGAGTTCTTCCCCATCAAAACTGGGGTTAAACAAGGGTGTGTACTGGCACCAGCTCTCTTTTCCATCTTCTTGGCTGCCTTCCTTACTCGTGCCAGTGCCAATTTAGACAGCAGGGTGAACATCGAGTACCAGGTGAAGGGTCTTTTCAACATAAGACGACTCCTGGCAAGAACAAAGGTATTGGCAGCTTCCATTACTGAACTTCAGTATGCACACTGAACACGACCTACAGGAGATCCTGAACACCTACGCAGATGCGTATGCACATTCGGCCTTGAGGTGAATGTACGTAAGACTCAGATTCTCTTTCAACCTGCCCCTGGTTCAGACACACCTCCACCATCCATCCAGCTTAGCGGTACTACCCTCTCTAATGTTGTCCACTTTCGGTATCTCGGCTCCCACCTGTCCACCACCACAGACATAAATGAAGAGATTCAACCTCTGATCAGATATGCATCTCAAGCATTGGGCGGACTCCGAAATCGTGTCTTCAGCTGTAGGGAGCTGTAATTATCCACAAAGCTGCATGTATATCTGGCAGTGGCCCTACCCACCCTACTATATCGTAGTGAGACATAGGTCACATACAGGAGGCACCTCAAGGCGCTTGAAAACTTTCATCAACGTAGTCTACGTTCCATTCTCAGAGTTCGCTGGGAAGACAGGAGAACAAATGCCAGTATTCTTGCTGGCCATGCTGGACTGGCCATGTTTCCCGCATGGACGACAGTAGACTGCCAATGCAGCTACTTTGCAGTCACCTAACCGAATAGTAAACGTAACGCCGGCGGGCAATTGAAAAGGTATAAGGATAGTCTTAAGACAAAACTGAAAAGGTGCCAAATCGACCCCCTCACCTGGGAGTCGATTACTCCACAACGTAACGCTTGGAGTAGCACCACACGAGATGGTATCAATACTTTCGAGTTAGCCCGACTGCAAACCGAGGCAGACAAGCTCCAACCTCGGAAACACGCTGCTACCACCCCTCCCACAGTAGATGGAGCCCCCCATATGTGCAACGAATGTGAACGATGCTGCGGGTCCCGTATCAGTCTCTTTGGTCACCTCAAAACTCACCAACCTAGGTGACATCCCTAATACCTCATATCATTGTATCATAGCTGGATGATCGTCATAATCGATTCCGGTGACAGCAAAGTAGTAGTATTGGTAGTATCTGTGTGTTTGTGCATGTATGTATGTAGATATACAGGTGTGTGTGTGTGTGTGTGTGTGTGTGTGTGTGTGTGTGTGTGAGAGAGAGAGAGAGAGAGAGAGAGGAGGGTGTTGTAATCGTGTCTAGTGCTCAAAATTTCTTTAAACATTCATATAAATATAATCGTACACATTCTTGTTAACAGCTTCTACACATCCTCCTACATATTAATCTTTTGTTTTTAATATTTTGCAACGATTCACATTATAAATAGACACTAAATTATATACCCTCTTGAATTCGTTTTTTAACATAATAAGTGTAAAGACTGATTGGGTAGGTTGCGTTCTCTATAAGGCTGGCTGTCTGCTTGCATGATGTATTGGATGAAACAACGTCACTCATGGTTGCCGTAATCCATGTTGGTATTGCATATATGCACAAAATAAATCGTTGAAAAATGGGAATATTTGGGTGGCCGACGTTTAGTGCGGGCATGTATGATGGATGGGTGTTGGAACAGTTCTATGTGTACTGTGGCGAGTGGCTGGTTGTAACGTTAGGTGTGTGTGTGTGTGTGTGTGTGTGTGTGTGTGTGTGTGTGTGTGTGTGTGTGTGTGTGTGTGTGTGTGTGTGTGTGTATTTACTGGCAGCTACTCAAGTAAAGCTACATATACCGTAAATTAAAATAAAAATTTCTTTAATTTCCTCGTGAGAATTTTCCTGTATTTTTTCTTTCCATTCCTATTCTTATTCTTATTCTTATTCGTATTCTTATTCTTATTCCTATTCTTAATCTTAATCTTATTCTTATTCTTATTCTTATTCTTATTCTTATTCTTATTCTTATTCTTATTTAACAGTAATCAATGTCTCTATATATTTGTTGCTCCATTCCTTTAAATGTACAATTGCGGATAAAATTCCTTGAACACTTGCCAATCTCTGTCATCTTCTTCTGGGTCATATATATGTTTGGTTTATATCTAATAATGTGGTTTTTCATTAAGTATTGTGTCGGATCCAGATAATAAAAAAAAAA